CCCAGCACTCGGGAGGCCGAGACAGGTGGATATGAGTTCCAGGCCAGCCTGGTCTACAGAGTGAGTTCCAGGACACTCAGGGCTACACAGAGAAACCCTGGCTCCAAAAATAACAACAATAATCCGCCGCCCCCCCCCCCAATACGCTAAACTCACATTATCTAAAAACCCTGACTCAAGCTGGGTGTGGTGGTACCTGCCTTTGATATCAACACTCAAAAGGCAAAGGCAGGTGGGTCTCTTCGAAGTCAGCCTGATCTACAGAGTAAGTTCCAAGACAAGCAGAGCCACACAGAGAAACCCTGTCTCAGGCGGGGGCTGGGGGGCGGGCACCCTGACTCAGAGGCAAGCAGTGGTGGCACATGACTTTAACCTCAGCACTCAGGAGGGAGAAACAGGCAGATCTCTGTGATGAGTTTGGGGCCAGCCTGGTCTACACAGTGAATCTCAGGTTAGGTGGGGCTACATAACAAGACCCTGTCTTAAAACAGAAACAAAAACCCTAGTTGAGACTCTAGGTTTAGCCAGGGAAGAATATAACACAGAAATGTGGCAGGGCAGTGCTGCATCTTCATGCTGAGCACAGAATGCTGGAAGTTAGGCTTGAGTACCTAACCCAGTGCTCACACCCTAACTTGCTATAGACAGCAGCCCCCCTTAAGTAAGCTTCCTATATTGGCTCCCCCAGAAACAACAGGCCCCAAACTCCATGCAGAGGTATGATTTCTTTTGCTACTGAGACTCATTCTAAGCAAGGATTTAGCACTCTGTTAGCACCAGGCAGTGGGCCTGGTGGCCAGCATGACCACCCCAAACATTCTGGAATGGGCTCTAACTACCAATGGTAGACAGCAAGCCCCATGGAATGCCTGTTTAGGGATCCCTCACAGAGCTGACTCTCACCCCAAAACTTGTTCCTGGCCCTTCTTCACGCCATCAAGAAATCCCTGTAGCTCCCGGGCTCTTTTGCTGTCCACAAACCGTTCACGGATGCAGGCATCCAGGCACCAGGTGAACTACAGGAAGGAAATATACAATCTAGATATACCCAGACTCTCAACTGTCAGTCAAACTCTGCCATTGCCCAAATGGCTATGGGAACTGCAAGGCCAAATACAGAAGAGAGACAAAGATAAACACAAGCCAAGGTCTAAGACCCCACCCTACGCCAAACCTAGGATACAAAGGGGTCCCTGGAGAGGACAGAGAAAATGGCAATTAGTAGAATGGGGCCATGGAAAAGGCTGGGCAACAGAGGTCTTTAGGCTTAGAAAGCCAAGGCCACAAGACCAAATTTGACTTGTCACTCAATCAATAGGTATTAACAAGGAAAAATAAACATGTTCTGTACTCATTCCCCAGTATATAGAAGGGAACATGGTATGGACTGAGACACCAGTGAGCTTTCATGGGGAACCAGCAGTCTATAGGGATCAGGAGGCCTCCCTAGATCCCAAAAGTAGCAAGGATCAAGACAGCACATGAAGGAGGCATAGTTGTTTTCCCTGAAAGGGAACTAGCCAGGGCTGGCAGCTGGATGGACATGTTATGGCAGGTATGTGGTGTTGATCAGTGCTAAGCAATACCACATAGTACCCAGGAGATAGTCTCAGATGTCCTGTGTTCTTAGTGGGAGACAGATGGAAGGCAGAAAACTCCATTCCTAGATCACCTTAGTGCTGGCCAGCAAGAAACCCTAAGGAGAAGCCAGGATCCCAACAGAAAGATGGCCAGAGGGCCTGCTACTTACAGCTACAGAATAGAGGCTGGAGGGCTGGCTGCAGGGGAGACAGCCAGGTCTCTGCAGGCCCTGTCCACCCCCCAGCGCTGCTGAGGAGCACAAAGCTGGTAGTCTGAGAAACAAGCTTAGATGTGGTCAGTAGATCATTCCTGAATTAATGAGGAGGAGGACACAGAAGCACACAGGTGGGCATGCAATGCTACCTTATGGCAAGGATCCACAGTACAGATGTCACTGACGTCCAAGTCATGCAAGGACATGAGCAGCTCAGCTCGTAGTGTGCAGTAATGCACATTCCTGGTCCGAAGAAACAGTGTGCGCAGGAACTGCAGCACCATGTCATATAGCTTCACATTCTTCCCAACCATCTGTGTTAGCTTCTGTACCACCTACGGGCAAGACAGACAAATAGAGTCCAAAGTCCTCACCCCAACAGGACAGGCACACCTTTAATCCTAGCACTTGGGAGGCAGAGGCAGGTGGATCTCTCTGAATTCTAAGCCAGACTAGAACTCACAGATCAAAGTTCCAAGACAGCCATAAAAAGACCCTCTCTCAAAAACCCAAAACCAGAATAAATCCCGATGCCAGCGCCACCCAGGCAGTAACACACAGGTGCCCAATCCTGCATACAGAGCTGGCCTCTCTTTTTGGCCTAAGATATTTCTTTCTCTACCATGAAATGTTAGCACCATATTCCGGGGGTCAGCTTCTGCTACTCAAGGTGGTATTCTTCCTAGGGATACCCCAAAACGCCCTTGGTCTATGATCTACTGTGATTTTAAGCACCTGCCTGTCCCATTAAGGGGTAGGTTACTTATCCTAGAAGCAGTTCTGAGAGCCAAACAGAGCCCCAACAGAGACAGCTCAGGCTATAGCTACTGCCTCTGGACCTAGGTTAAGGTTTATGAAGCCACACTGAGATCTCTGCTTTCCTGTTGTCTTTCCAGACTTATGGCTATGACCACCCTTGTTCTAACACTAATACCAGGGCCAAAGAACAAAGACCAGGGCTCCTAACGTCAAACCACAAACACTAATATCCAGCCTTGTACTCTAGGCAAGGGCCATGCAGGAACACCAGTGTCTATTCCTTTAGCAGGTGTCACTCATCCTATCTCTACCCAAAAAAGGCAAACCACAAAGTCCTGCTCAAATAGCTGGGGGTAGTGCACATGCTTTAATACCCACACTCAGAAGACAGAGGCTGATCTCTGAGTTCAAGGCCAGCCTGGTCTAGAGAGGGAGCCCCAAGACAGCCAGGACTTCACAGAGAAACCATCTCAGGAAAAGAAAGAAAAAACAAAAGAAAACTTGAGCCAACACAAAGAAGTTTCACTCAGCTGGCCACGGTTAACTGAGTCTCCAACCTATGGTACAAATGGACATTTGGGGTAAAGATATCACTGAAGGGGTGGGACTGGGGATGAGGAAGGAGGCTACAGCTGGGATACATAGTGAATAAATTTTAACAAATAATCAATAAAAAAAAGGGGAAAAAAGATATCACTGGAGGCCCAAAGGCATCAGGTCAGACTCAGCAAGTAGTGAGGTCGGTAGGAGGAGGTAAAAGGGTGGCAAGAGCCAGTAAAACTGGTCTGGCAGTTTCTTTCTCCAAGACCCCTGCTAAGAACTCTTGGACTGACCTGGATCTTTATCTGAGGAACAAATTTTCACTGTTGACATCACTCGAGCCATGTGGATGGTCCAAAGTTCTCCCATACACTGGGTACAGAGCACAAACACAATCTAGCCCTGACACAGAGTGTACCAGCCTCATACATGACCAGCTTGGGACCACCTGCTCATAGGCAAGACAGCTTTCCTACAGTCACAACTGAGAGGATAACACACTAGCCTGGTGTCCTCAGTGCTGTAAAACCACAGAGCACTAACAAGAGTTACCAAAGTCTCCAAGAGGAAAAACAGAATCATCAAAGGCCATAAATTAGACCCATCTGCAGAAACTGACAACCGAGTATCAAGAAAGGTCTTTGGCACTTAGGACTATAATTCTAAAACTAGCCACATGGCCCAGAAGTCCAATTACATCAAAAATAACAAGAATGAAATTTAGGAAAGGAAAGGAAACCTGGAGAATATAAGAACTAGTCCAGTCAATACAGGACACTGAGCTGAATCAGACCTGCTGTGGCTGACATGTCAAAGCAGAAAGTCAAAAAGGCCTGGGGATCTGAGAGCCAGAAGAACCAAGAAAGAAGCCAGAATACCACTGGGAGCTAGACAACTAGAAAGTGTGTATACCTGAGCCCAACTTGCAAGTCTGTTCTATTATTCTCTAACTTAATTCACTTGAGACAGGGTCTCTCACTCAACCTGCAGCTCAAAAGGTTTGTTCGTTTTCTTTAAGATTTATTTATTTATTTATTTATTTATTTATTTATTTATTTATTATACAGCATTCTGTTTGCATGTCTGCCTGCATGCCATGAGAGGGCACAAGATCTCATTATAGATGGTTGTTAGGCACCATGTGGTTACTAGGAATTGAACTCAGAACCTTTGGAAGAGCAGCCAATGCTCTTTAACCTCTGAGCCACTTCACAAGCCCTCAACAGGTTTTATTTGATTCTGTCTATACTGGCAGGCCAGCAAGCCCCAGTGATTCTCCTGCCTCTGTGTCCTCCCTTTCAGCACTGGGGTTAGCCATACGGGGCTTCTTTTTGGGTGTCAAAGATCTAAACTCAGGGCTTCATGAAAACCCTGAGAGCCATATTTCCTTTCCTTCTCAGCATCCTTTTTTACTCCTCTGTACATCTGTGTTTATGTGCATAAGAACATAACTTTTGAAGTCAACCCAAGACAAGTCAAGCAAGTCCTCTTACAGTAGAAATCAGTGCTGTCTGTGGCTATCACCAGGAGAAATCGGAGGTGGAGAAAGACTGGGGAGACACGGGAACAAAGCATTCTGCCTGACGATGGAGAAACGTTTAGAAGGAGTACATAAATATAGGAAGGAATACACAAGCATAGGGAAAGGCAGGAATTGCAGGAACCATAAACCACTCAAACATGGAAGCCACCAATACCCATGATGGAGCTTTAAAACCCAACTAGAGCCATGAGCCACACAAGGCTCTTATGTCATAAGCTTGAAAAGCTCACCAGACTTCTAGCTTTAGTAACTCCTCAAATGAAAGCAATAAAGCTAATACTGGTTCATCAACTACAGGTTGAAAAGACAAAACCTTGAATGTATTAGGTTAAGAAAAAAACATCAAAAGCAATCTCATCTTGCTTGCTTTGGCAGCACATACACTGAAACTGGAATGATACAGAGAAGATGAGCATGGCCTCTGCACAAGGGTGACACACAAATTCATGATCCATTCCATATTAAAAAAAAAAAAATCTCATCTATTTTTGCCAAAGTAGGCACTAGGAAATTTCTGTTGTTCTTGTTGTTGTCTTGAGACAGGTTTTTTTTCTGTGTAGCCTTGGCTGTACTGGACTCAATTTGTAGACCAGGCTGGCCTTGAACTCGCAGAGATCTACCTGCCTGAATGCTGGCATTACAGGTGTGCACCACTGCGCCCAGCAATACTAGGAAATTTTGAATGACTTATATAGCTCTATCTTTCCACTGACCAGTACCAGTCTAAAATAAGCTAGTTACAAAGTCTTAAGAATTAGCAAGATAGCTAGTCGGGGTGGTGCACGCTTATGATACCAGCACTCAAGGAGGCAGAGGCAGGTGGATCTCTGAGTTCAAGGCCTGCCTGATCTACAGAACAAATTCCAGGATAGCTAGGACTACACAGAGAAACCCTGTCTCAAAAGCGGCAGGATGTATCACTGGGTAAAGACATCTGAGGCCAATCTGACAACTCAAGTTCAACTCTCAGGATTCATATGGTATAAATGACTACTGGGCAGTAGTGGCACATGCCTTTAATTGAAGCAGTTGGGAAGCAGAGGCAAGTGGACCTCTGAGTTCAAGGCTAAGGCTAGACTGGTCTACAGAATGATTTCCAGGACAGCCAATGTTATATAGAGAAACCCTGCCTCAAAAAACCAAAAAGACAAAAAAGAATTGACTCCTTCAAGTTGCCTTTTGATCTCTGCACCATACAGTCATTCACGCACATATACAATAAATAATGTAATGGAAAAAAAATTTTCAACAAGCTGGGCATGGTGGCACATGCCTGGGAGGTAGAGACATGCAGATTTCTGTGAGTCGATCTACATAAAGCAAGTCCAGGATAGCCAAGGCTACAAAAAGAAACTGTCTTGAAAAACAAACAAACAAACAAACAATCCTCAACATAAAGCATACTTATGGGCTAGGGAGATGGCTCGGTGGTAAAGTGCACATGCTGCTCTTCCAGAGGAGCTGGGTTCAATTCCTAGCACCTATATCAGGAAGCTCACAAACAGATTCCAGCTCCATGGGCATCTGACACCCTGGCCTCTGTGGGCACATACCCACACATATGTACACACCCATAGACACAAACATAATTAAAATTAATTTTAAAAATGTTAAAGATGTCACTTATGAGCCAGACGTGGTAGCCAGCCCAAAGCCAGCCTACTCTAAATAAGGAGTTTCAGGCCAGTCAGGGCTACATTGTGAGATCCTGTCTCACAAATAAATAAGTAAGCCACTTATGGCAAATTTGAATTTAGAATAATGCCAACATCAGTATTAGGTAAAAAGCGGGATTTAGTGCTTTTCCCTTTGGTTTTTTAAGATGAGGTCTGCTATGTTACTCAGGATGGCCTCAAATTCGCAGCAATCCTCCTGCCTCAATCTTCTACCAACCAATTTTACTCCAGTACAAGCTCATGCTTATAGAAACAGACTAACCTACATACAGGGAAAAGACAAGTAAGGAGGGGGCTGGCCACACACCCCAGGGAGTTATCTGCCTCCCCTGAGCAGACCCTGACTTCCCTCACCTCTCCCTGGCGCCTGGTCTTGGGGGAAGGGCTGAAGAAGTTGTGCAGAACAGAGAGCTCCGTGCTGAAGAGTGCGCTCTCTTTCTCCAGGATATACTGCTTCAACAGTGGTGAGACTTCATCACCAAAGAGAGCTTGGTTGTCTTGCCAGATCTGCCTCTTCACTTCCACAGCACATGCCCGGTACAATTCCTTGTCAGCCATCACCAGCTTCAGCTTCTTTTCAGGAACCTACACAGTAAACACCACAGCTCCCTGAAAGTGGTCCCTGTGTCCTCCAGGATAAGTCAAGAGGCTTCAGCTGCCCACAGAACCTGTAGAGCCCAGCCACACCAACAGTGGCACCTGTGATGGACCTCCAAGTCTTAGTAGGTGAATTCAGATACCAAGAATTCCCATAGCCCTCTTCTAGGAAAGACCCACCCTGAACTTAAAGGGATAAATGTGTTTATCAAAGGATAAATGAGCCACCCTTGGTTCATCCAGAGTAAGTCTGTGATAAAGGAAAGATGCCCACAGCTTGCTGGAGGGCAAGTTCACAAAACTTTCCAGGAGCTAAGCACCTGTGTGCACCAAGCTGATAGTCTGATTTCCACCAACCAAGGCAGGCTAGCCAAGCAGACTAGATCACAGGCTCATTGACTTCCCTGGGAGGGCTGGCTCTCACCTTTGGCAAGTGTTTCATAACACACATCACCACTGGTTGTAGGGATGGCATCTTGACCAGAGAAAAGCTCTTTTCCAGCAGGTCTTCCAGTTTCTTGTACCTGGGCAGATTTTCACAACTGAGAAAATGGGTCTCTACATGCAGGACACACAGAGGAGTCCCTCAAACACATTCCAGGTAGGACTGTACAGCCATGGGAAACATAAATACGACCAACAAAGATAAGCAGCTCCCCAGTAGAGACCCACCTCTCCTCTGCCTTTCCCTCAGAGGCAATAGCTGACACTCGTTCCAGCAGTTTGTCACGTAGCTCATCAAACACTGACTGATGAAATTCCAGCCGCGGTGTCCCGTGTAGGTCCAAGAAGGGCAGGGCCGACTGCAGGGAGGGCAGCAGCACGCCATTCTCTGTCTGGGAAGCAGAGAGTTAACGCGTACGCATTAGCCAAGCAAAAGTCAGCACCAGTACCATTGATACCTTGAGTACACTGGTCTGCTGTGGGCTCTTAGCTCAGAACCTCCAGTGCCTCCATCCAAGCGTAGGGAGCGCACAGAATTGTGTCCGGCTTCCCCACAGCGGTCCGGGCCCCTCCCGCCCACCTGAAATTGCTCAATAGCCTTCAGCGGCTCGGTGCAGTTGGTCAGGGTCTCTTTCAGGTCCTCGCCATTGGCCACGCCCAGGTCCTGGAGCCCCGCGAACATGGCCGAGGCTCCGGCTGTTGCCCGGCCGTGCACCCCATCCCCCCCGCGCTCCCCTGGAGCCGTCGCGGACGCTGATGGAGCCCCAGAAGTCCTCTCCACGGTGCCACGGGGAGCCCCCAAGCCCCGTTCACTCGCAGCCTCCAGCGTGGCCAGTTCGAGCCAGCAGAACTCCTTGCACTGGCCAACACCTCCCACTTCCGCCCTTCACTGTCTAGGTCCAGCAGCCAATAGGCCCCGGGAAAACGCCGACGCCGCGCGCAGGTTCCGGGCAGTAAGAGGTAGTTAGTCTTTGCGCAAGGGGCGGTGCGGGATGACGCAACCTCCTTTCAAGAGACTTTGGCCACCCTAAACTAGCTACTGCCAGTGCTGTGAAATTTGCTGCCTTTAATCTAGGCCTAGAGATAGCAGGGGAGGGGGGGTTGGAGTGACAGCAGGCTTTGGATATGTGGTAGAATCACCTACGTTATGAATTTGAAAACTGACTTGTATACAAGTACATTTTATAGCGCCAGTTTGTTTTGGCTTTTTATTTCTGTGTAGCCCTGGAACGTATTTTGTAGACCAGGCTGGCCTCGAACTCAGAGATCTGCCTGTCTCTGCCTCCCAAGTGATATAGCACTTTTCTGAAGTTTTTTTTTTTTTTTTTTTTTTGGGGGGGGGTGTTTGTTTGTTTGTTTGTTTGTTTTTTTAACTTGTGCCCACAGGGGTAAGGCACAGTATATGAACTTCATTTGGACTGAAATCTGAATATGTCTCTAATTGGCACTAAGGGTGCTTTGCAAGAGCTCCGAGTAAGCACTGGGAACTACACTTTCATTATAAGCTTGTGAAGACTGAGGTTTGAGCTAGGGTCCAGGTTGCAGTGTCCCTTGTTCTTGGCTGGAGGGCCCTCAGGCTGTCATGTGTGTAAGCTCTTGGGCTCAGCATTTAGCTCTCTGCAGCCTCCCCACTGCTCCAACGCTCACCATTTTATCCGACCAGCTTCACACACACACTTCCAAACAACACACCTCTCTCTTCATGTGTCTTTGCTGCTGAGGTTTGCTCTGCTACAAATTCCCTGCTGCCCATCACATTCTTGACTATCTTTGGAAGCCCTTCTCTTACTGGCCCTATAGGAAGCCCTAAACAGACTCATCAGCATGACTGAAGGGCATTAGCTCCTGTTCAAGTGTCTGGCACTAGGATGCCTGGTGATGTAGCTATAAACAGAGTTCCTATTCCCACTGAGGCTAAGTTCCTCAGGCCAGGACTACACACTTCTGCCACTGTTTTTTGCCAGCTGAGCAGCTCCACAAAGGGCCCAGTGTTAAAGGTTCCATCACCCTAATGCCCCAGGGTATTTTGGTTCAATTACTATCTGGTGCAATCAGAAGATACACAGGGTACGTAGACTCTTAGTCCAAGAGTCTTCTACTCTACAAAAGAGGGTGGTGCTAACACCAAGGCAGCAGCTGGGACAGAAGCTGAAAAGGAGAGCTCTCAAAGGATGGCAAGACAGCTCATTGGGTAAGAGTGCTTGCTGTCATGCCTGAAGACTTGAGTTGAATCCCTACAGATGGTTGTTCTAGTCTGACTTCCATGTGAATGATGTGGCAGACATACACACACACACACACATACAAATGGTTCCCCAGCACTCACATGGTGGTTCATAACTACCCATAACTCCAGTTCCAGGGGGTGTCTAACCTGTATAAGCACCAGGCATACATGTGATATACAGACATACATGCAGACAAAACAGTCATAAGCATAAAATGAAATCACTTTTTAAGTGAGTTCTGGTTTGGGTTTAGTGGTACACTTTTTTTTTTTTCCATTGAGACTGGGTCACTATTTAGACCAGGTTGCCTGAAACTCAGATCCCCTGCCTCTGCCTTCCGACTGCTGGAATTAAAGGCTTGTGCTGCCACACTTGGCAATAATCGCACATCTTTAATCCTAGCACTTAGGAAGTAGAAGCAGGTGAATTTCCTGTGAGTTCAAGAGTAGCATGGTTTACATAGTAACTTCTAAGACAGCCATAGCTACATAAGTGAGAGCCTGTCTGCTAGAAGAGGAGAAGAAAGAAAAGTCAGCTCTGAGAGCTGGAGAGATGGCTCAGCACTTGCTGCTTTGGTAAGGGACCTGGGTTCAGTCCCAGCACCTACATGGCAACTCACAGTCATCTGTACCATCAGTTCCAAGGGCACATACCCTACAAGCAAGCAAAATACCATAGACATAAATTTTTTTAAAGTTCTAAGTGAGCTCTTTGCCTGGGTGAGGAAGAAAGTATGAAGAGGGCCCTGGAGAAATTGCTATCACTAGCTACAAGTTGCGGCTCCTAAAGGGGGCTCCTAAGTAGGAAGGCAGGTCAGCATGCTGAGGGAACCAACGATCAGCCTACTGCTTTGGGCAGAGCCCGAAGGCTTTGTGCCTGGGTTCTCAGAATACAAGTTACCAAACCCAGTTGAATGTTCAGGTCAAGGCTCTAGGGAAGTAGGTCTAGGTCTAGTGTCTGGTGAGATGATTCCCTGGGTCCTGTCTAGTGGGCTAGGCAGGCAGGCTGTGCCTGTGTGAAGATGGCAGCTCCCCAGGTTCTGGCCTTCCACCCCATCCCAATAGTTCCTCAGCTCAGCAAGCAGCCCTGACCCCTCATGTAGATGCTGGACCTTGGGTAACATGACTGGATCAGGTCGTCCCATATTGCCACAGGGTCCTTTTCCTATTCTATCCTAGGTCAGAAAGCTTAGGCTTAGTTCCCAGGCTGACATTTCAGTCTTGAAGCATACCATATAGGAACAGAGAAAGCCAGAAATACCAGGGAAGCAAGAAGCCACATATTCAAGACAGCCCACTGAGCAAAGCATGGACAACTAGGCACACCAGAGACCACAGTTCTGAAGAATCATTTGTATCTAAGCATAGTGGGGGGTAGGGGAGGAAGACTCTGGGAAGACTCTTCTTGTTGCACAGCCTATGCCAGAAGAGTGGGTGAGGAGTCTAGAGGGTCAGAAGGCCAGGTTAAGCTGAAGACAAGTGTTCCAAAGGAAGCCTAGGAAAGCCTCAAGGGAGGTCAGCTTTACAATCGATACTGGCTGGTCCTAGAGAGTGCTGAAGGGGCCTGTGTCATGGCGCTTGGGTCTGCGCACTCCTTGGATGAGTACCCCAGGTGGAGATGGGTAGCATGAGTTGTAGCTGTCATTCACGTAGTAGGCAGCTGGACCTGGGGTTTGGGCTGCAGAGAAAGTGAGCTGACCCTAGCCCTCATCCCTGCATTCCCCCATGCAGCCCAAGCCCCACTCCACCCTCAGGCAGGCTAAGCCTCTTTTCCTAGGCCTCCCTTACAGGAGCTGATCCAGGAGGCAAATACAGGGGAGCGGCTCATAGAGAAAGCAGGCGAACGTGTGCTCTGCAGACGGCGCCCAGGAAGGGTGTCATAGGTGTTGGGGCTGGGTCGCTTCTCGCCAGAGGGCTGTGCGTCGTCGTCGTCGGCCAAGAGTGGGGTATAGGTACAAGGACCTCGAGCTCGGAGCATCCCTGGGCGAAAATGACTCTGGGGTATCTTGACATCAGAGCCACGGCAGCCTCCAAAGCTGAAGGCCGGGATGGCAGGCTGGCTCAGCGGCTTGTACTCCGCAGGCGATGGCCACTGTGAGGAGTCAAGAACGCTGCAATCTCCTTGCCCAGTTTTTGTGCCTTCAAGCCTCACCTCCCCACCCGCGCTCCCCCCTTCCCCGTCAACACCAAACCCAGCCACAGTAGTCCCTCCCTCAGGCCCCTCCCACAAGCTACCTCCTTTCCTTACCAGCAACACCCACACCTTCCTTAAGGTGGGCTCCAAATCATCTTCTGCCACACTTCCTCCACACACAGTGGACCCTACCTTTCGTTCTCTGTTGAAGTCGGTCTTGTGTATGAAGGGGGTTTCACTTTGGAGCCACATGGTCTGCCATGCCCTGCGGCCACCACCCTCTGCAGTGGGGTGGATAGTCGGTGGGAAGGTTTTCATGGCAGGAGTTCCCCATTTCCCAGGTATAGGCAGGATTATGAGGACATGCACCTCGACCAGAGTACTTGCAACCGATGGTGAAATGGGGGTGTGGAGAGGACTCTCGCAGAGACGCACTGGGCACCTCATATTTGGTGGGGCCAGGGATATCCAAGTCGGTCAAGATTGGAGGACGTCGCTCTACCACTGGTGCAAAAAGCAAGCTCTAGACCCATTTCGTCCCAGAAAACTGCTTTCACCTTGTCCCCCACCCCCATACTGGCCTGGGGTGGGAATGAGGTAGGCAAAACCTTCACGCACACAGCTCTCTCAGGGTCCCTGTGCAGATAGATGTGGACTCTTTGGGAGTGCTCATTCTTAACCTGAAGCCACTTGGGGCCCTCTTCTTCTTTGGGGGCCACATTTCATCCCAGGCTGCCTCCAGCTCCTGGTCCCACCACAGCACAGCAGCCTTGGGCCTGCAAGGAAGCCAACAGCCACTGTCGACCTATTCCAGTGGTCTTCCCACTTGGTTGTCTCCACCTGTCCACCATCCTCTCAAATTACTGGGTGGGATGAAGAGGTTTCTGACTTAGGGGTCCCCGGGTCCAGTGTTTGCCTCCATTGATGTAAAAATTTGCCAGGAATTTCACAGCCTTCTGATCAAAATTCATTCTGGGTCTCCAGCTCCCTGGCCAGAGGGCACTGCTGGGCTCTGTGACCTCATTGTCCGGTCATGCCCCTCCCTTCTGTTGCTGGGAGCTCCCTAGGAAAGGAACATTGTCCAGATCAGGAGAGGCTCTCCCAGTGCCCCTCTCCCTACCTGCTGAGACCAGACCGCCACCCAGGTCAGCCTTGATCAAGACAGGCTCTAATCTGTCTTTCTCTCTCCTGGGGGCTTGGGTCCACTCTAACAGTAAGTCTGGGACACCACACTAGGTGAAGGGCATGTGAGCACATGTCAAGTCCTGCAGTGTGGCTATGAATGTGATAGCCAACTAAAAGGGTGTAAGGAGAAAGACAGTTGAGAAAAAAAGAGGAAGACCAGCTGCTCCTGCAGCTAACCCCATCGTGAAGAAACAAAGCAAAGCAACTCAGGCCTGACTACTAAGTCCGGCCAGTCCAGGCAGGGGTAGTTCTAAAAGCTTGTCTAATACCTTTGCCTGCAGGCAGAGCCTAGAAGGCCATGATGTATTAGATGAACTGGGTGTGCCTAGACGATATACAAAGGAGTCCTGAGCCTAAGGGAACAAGAACCCATCTGGGCACTAAGACCCTTCCTTACAGAGCGGCCTCTTACACTGGCTGGTCCAGCTGTTCTAGCCCTGACCTTGGCCCAAACCTGCTCCTTCCAGCCCTCTTCTACCATGACGACTGGGTCTTTTCCTTTCTGGCTCTCTCCCTTTAGCACTGGCCCTGACTGACACTTCTCTGGATAGATGGAGACATGATGAAACAAGTTTGATTTGGACAAAGAAATCACAGGCTGCCGGGGACCTCCTCCTGCATTGTGCCTTTCAGAGTGTAATTGATGGTGTTAAGGTACCTGGTATGTAGGCTTCTGAAGAAACATTTGCTGCCATTTATGTGACTCCAGTTCTTCCCTGTGACAAATATTGCTGTGGGATGGAAATGGTACAATAAGTGCCTGCAGTGTGAGCATGAGAACCTGAGTTGGTATCCAGGAGCAATAAAATTTAGGTGTGTGCCTCTAGAACCCCAGCACTGGGGAGATAGAGACGGGAGGATCCCTGGAGTTCTGTGTCCAGCCAGGCAAGCTGAACTGATGTACTCCAAATTCTGTGAGACAAACCATAGCTCAAAAAACTAAGATTGAGGAAGATAAGCAACATCAACCCTGGCCTCTAGCATACACACTCATACTGCTCTGAAGCTGGTGGCCTATACCTGTAATTGCAGTACTTGGGAGGCTGAAGCAGGAGGATCACTATAGGTTCAAGGCCAGCTTGGGTTACATAATAAGAAAAAAAAACAAAACATACAGTTGTGATGGTGTCACACATCTATGTTTCCTTGCTTCAAGAATTATTTACTATGGATGTGTGCATGTGTACTGCATGCAAGCCTGGTGATGTGGAGATCTGAAGAGGCATCAGATCTCTGGAAAGTGGAGCTGCATATGGTTATGAACTACCATGTGGATGCTGAAAACTAAACCTTGAGCTTCTACAAGATCAACAAGAGCTCTTAGTTGCTCGGACACCTCTCTAACTCCACAGCCACCACATATGGCTAACATATGGCTGTTAGTTTCAGAGCACTCCTTTAGGGTGGAGGCCGCAGTGTCTTCTTTAGAAGCTGTGGGTTTGTTTTCTTTTCAAACACTTGTGTTTATATTAGCTTTTTTTTTTTTTTTTTGGAGACAGGGTTTTTCTCTGTGTAGCCCTGGCTATCCTGGACTTTCTTTGTAGACGAGGCTGGCTTCAAACTCACTGCCTGCCTCTGCCTCTCTGACTGCTGGGATTACAGCATGGGCTACCAAGCCCAGCTTTATATTTGCATTTTAATATTGGAGGGTTAATTTTTAATATTTCATAGGATTTTTTAAAAGTTATTTTAATAAGACTCTTAAAAATAACAACCAATTTATTTATTATTTATTTTTGGTATTTCAAGACAGGGTTTCTCTTTGTAGCTTTGACTGTCCTGGAACTCGCTTAGTAGACCAGACTGGCTCAATTCAGAGATCAGATTGCCTCTGCCTCCCAAGTGCTAGGATAAATGGCATTTTCCACGATGTCCAAGGGTTTTGTTTTTATTTTTGTTTTTGAGACAGGGTTTCTCTGTGTAGCCTTGGCTATCCTGGACTTGCTTTGTAGACCAGGCTGGCCTTGAACTCACAGCAATCTGCCTGCCTCTGCCTCCCTAAGTGCTGGGATCAAAGGCATGGGACACCAAGCCTAGCTCCAAGCTTAGTTTTTATCTTTAGTATATTTTTAGCATGTCTGTGCACTTGAGAGATGCTGCCAGAGGTCAGGGGTGCTGGATTCCTTTGGAGCTAGAGTTACAGGTAGTTGTGAGATGCCTGATGTGAATGCTAGAAGTCAAACGAGGGTACTTTGGAAGAGCAGCAAGTGGTCTTAACCTCAGCCATCTCTCTAGCCCTTCATGAAATTTTTATGCAGAATTATCTGTCCATAGCAGCTGCTACAAAGTTTAGTTTGCCTTCCTTTATTACTTATGCTTATTTGACATGGAACAGAACCTGCTTTTTCCCCTTTATGTTTTATTCACTTTTATGGTTATAAAGTTCTATCCATAAACTAGGGCAATAGCTCAGTTGTGCATTCTGTGCAAGTATGGGGACTTTAGTTTGAATCACCAGCACACATATAAAAAGCTTGCCTTGGTGGCATGCTTGGGCCATCCAGATGGTTCAGTGGATATACCAATGAAAACCTGCCTTAGAAAACAGTGTTGACAGTGTTCTAGGGGGACACTAGAACATGAACACTGGGCTCTGCACACATCTGCACATACATGCAAAAAGAAGGATTTTTATTAATAAATAGGTTTTTATTTGCTAGAGTATTTTAGTGTAAGTCAAAGGACAACTTTCAGGAGAAGGTTCTTTCCTTTCACTTGGTGAGTTCCTAGAACTGAACTCCGGCCATCAAACTTCATGACAGGCATTCTTTACCTCTGAGCCATCCCACCAGCATCAAAGAAAATTATTTTATGGTCATTAATGTGTCTTGCCTGTATGCATGTCTGTGTGAGGGTGTCAGATACCACGGAACTGGAGCTACAGACAGGTGTGAGCTGCCATGTGGGTGCTGGGATTTGAACCTGAGTCCTCTGAAAACATAGCCAGTGCTCTTAACTGCTGGCTCATCTCTCCAGCCCCCAGTTTTTCTACACATGAGGATTTGTTAAGTGTAGAAAATAATGTCTCACTACAGGGGAACAAGAGTCCACACAGCTGTCCATCTGGGAAACCTGACTCAGTACTGAATTCATCAGTGGAGAAAGGACCAGGGTAAAGAGTCTGCTTTTCAGCTGGGTCTTGATCTCTGGGGGCAGTGAGAGTCCAACCCCTTTTCATTCTGGGATCCTAAGCTCTGGGTAAGTGGAGCTTCCTTTGAGGAATCCCCCTCCCCAATCTTGCTCAAGACACCTACCTAGCTGGTCTTTGAACCAGAGATGCTGTGTGATTGGGAACACTCGCAGGGTCAACAGATGGCTGGGTCCATAATGCTGGCCCCTTCACAATGGTTACCAGGCAACAGGTCTCTTCTCAGAGAAGCAAGGTGAACCAGCAAGGACAGAGTCAAAGCAAATGACAGCTACTCAGAAACACAACCTCTTCACTCCAGAACCCCACTACATCCCTGGGTAAGAGCTGGGAGCTCTACAGAAAGGGAGGTTGGGGTCAGGAAAGAGGGATGGGCAGTAGGGCTGGGTTCAACCTGGACTCTAAGAGGCTGAGGACCAATGCTGAGGAGGCCCAAAGCCAGGTTTACCAAGGAGTAGAATAGAGAGAAGGGTTGAAGAGCTCTGGGACAGAAGATCCCTAAGGTGGAACTGTAGAGGAGGGCTAGGCCTTGCTCTTCCCTGTGGTCTCAACCTGAATACAGTACTAGGTAGCTAGCATGTCTGTCAAGGGCAAAAACTATGGCATCCAAACAGCTGGCAGAGCCTGAATAAACAAATGGTGGACTTTCTCTCCATAGGAAGAGATGGCTTAGAGATGGGATAAGTGTAGGCCAGTTTAAAAAAAAAAAAAGACAAGATGTTGCTCAGAGGCAGAATGCTTGCCTAACACAAATAGGGAAAGTCCTAGGTCTAATCTCCAGCACTACAAAATAAGTAATAAAATAAAACTCCAAAGAGTTTGTGTGAGTACCCAACAGACCCACGTGAAACATAGGAGCACATAAATAAGACAGGGGAAAAACTGAGGAACCTATGCTTCCTTTTAAAATTGGTCACTTTTGGAGGTATCAATGGGGTAAGGGATGGAAAGTGTTGAGAATGATTGGGTGCTGGCCTTTAGAGATGGTTCAGCAATTAAGAGCACTCGCTGGTCTTCAAGAGAACATAGGTTCGATTCCCAGCATTCATATGGTAGCTTCACAACTATCTATAACTCCAGTTCCAGGGGATTCATCAGCCTCGTGTGACATGCACTAGATGCACATGTGGTATACAAACATATGTGCAGGCAAGACACCTATGCACACAAAGTGAGAGAACTGCTGGGGTATGGATCCACTGTGGAGAACAACCCAATGGCAGTAATGAGAGTAAAGACCTGGCATGTCAGATTGGGCATATGCTAACCCTGAGTCCTCAGAGTCCCAGAAATCAGGTGAGCAGAGGCCATGCTCCAATGGCTGCTAATTAACAGGCAGAAGTGGCTTCTCCCCTGCTTCTTTCCACAGCTATGCTGGTTTCTATCCTCAACTGCGCTACCAGGTGGGAAATACCTATGGCCGAACCACTGCACAGCTACTCACAGATCCCAGCGTAGAGAAGAGCCCCTGCTCTGTTCTGTCACCTATGTCCAAGCCCAAGTTCATCGAGGACTTCAGCAAACCCAAGCCACCATGGATTCCCTGCAGGGACCAGACAGAGCCTTACATCCCACACCATACCAGTGAGCTTCAGGTCCAGGGAGGGACCTGAACCTGAAGGGCTGGAGGTGGGACCC